TAACCTTAAATTTTTAGGTGAGAGGCAAAAGACCTTAGGCCTATAAGTTAGGGGTTAAAAAAGGACTTAAGCCTATCCAAAATAAGATTTTTTTTTTTGTCAAAGACTTTGACCAACATGCATCTTTGAATATATTTGATGAGTTTGATTTTGATATGCATTTATCTACCATTTTTGAGTTTAGAATTTAATTTTATGGGTCTTTTGTAACTTAGTTTTACCTTGATTTACATCAATTTCATTACTTGTGGGTGAAAAGTAAAATAAAAATTAATTTTTCAATAAGTGATAATTTACTCATGCTATAGTAATTTAACTATATCTTTTTCTCCAGGCATCAAATTGAGAACATTCTTGAGGTGTTGGAAAGTTAGGAAGCAGAGCTATAATTCATCTTTTATGAGCTCAACCCAATTCAATTAGTATCAATACAGAATTCCAGTTGAGATCCACGTTTTTAGCAGAAGAACGCTGGACGGGTTGTGAAGAAAAAAATAAAACAGAAACTTGGCTGTTTTGTGGTTGTGGGCTGGCCCAAGATAAAGCCCATGTTCTACTAGGGCTAGAAAGAATAAAGGAAACCTCAGAGAATTATGTATATACATCTCGGGCACAAAGGGAAGGGCAGAACGAAGCCGCCCAAAATCTGTAAGAGGACGCGCACAGCTTCTGTTTTCCCTCTTTCCTCCAGTGTTGCTTCTCAAAAATTCTGTGGAGGAGGACGACCCAAACCCAGACGCAGACGCAGTAGCTTCTGTTTCATTTCTCTTCCCCGACAGCCTTGTTTAGGAAATCACCAGAGCAGCACACCATTGAGGACGCAGTGCAGTTCGGCTTGCTCTTCATTGGGACTGGTTCTATTTATTTTTTTTATTTCGATTTTTATCATGATTTTCTGCTGGGTTTTCCGAATTATGGCTGTCCAGAACTCCATTATGTGTAGCTAGATTTCTTTGAAGTAGGGATGGGTGGATTTTAATTTTTGGATTATGTGACTGTTTTTTTTTAGTTTAATTTACGAATTGATTGATTGGTTATTTGCATATATTATTGAGTTTAATGTATTGAGATACTGATCAATTTTTAATTGATTTAGTGATAAATTTATGAATTTGAGAAAAAATTAGGTAAATTAAACCAATAATAATATAAATCGTGTGTTAGACTATGAGATCGAGAGGGAATTAGCTCATATATGGTAGTGGTGGAGGAAGAGAAGAGAGTTAGTAGCTTAAGCTAGAGTTTCCATAGAATTTAATGCTCATTAGTTTGTTTAAAATTACATAAACATATGATTAATTTGGTAAACAAATAAAAGATTAACTTGACTTAAAAAAATTAGTTAATTAATTTAGAAAAATCCATCATTTCATGGGATAATATTATTACTTGACCTTGAATTAAATTAATTAAACAGTTACATAATTTAAAATTAAATAAAATCTAGCTCTAGTTCCTTTCCATTCATAGTTTCTTTAACTTAGAAAATTCTTTTAGTTTAATTTCTTTAGTTTAAGTAGTTTTCTTTTAAATAATTTAGCTTTACTCCATTAATTGGTTAATTCAACTTAGGTTAGATTAATATTGTCTTGGTAGTGTAAAATAGCCCTCGAGAGAACGATATCTTACTCATCTTATACTGCATAATCGATTAGGTTCACTTGTCTAAAAATAGTGCATATTTGATGCATCAATGTTATATACAAAATAAAATTTCAGACAATATCTCAAAATGACAAAAGAGGTAGAATATTTTGTTCAAGATGTTTGTCTAAAATAGTTTGCCACGGGTTTACAACCACTTAAAATTCAAGATAAATAAAATTTTGAAAGATAAGCAAATATTGAGAAAATAGGAGTAGGCACTCATCCAAGGGTTGAACAACTCATTTAAAACTAAATTTGTATATAGATTGAGGTTTGGAGGATTCAAGAGTACAGTTAGAGTGAAGAAAGCCATACATTTATTTAACAATCCTCTTCGTATATCATACAATTGTATACTCTAGAAATAAATTAAGGAGGACTTTATTATTTAATTTTACTCTTTTTTTAGGTTTTTCTTTTGATTTTTTTGAATATATATTTTTTTATTTAAAATAAACCTAAAAAATAACAGACAAATAAATAAATGAATCAAATATGCTGCATTTCAAGTTGGAAGATTCAATCCACTATTGCTTACTATTCAAAAGATTAATTCAAAGGATGATTTAGATTCATAAATTTAAGATTTCAACAAAGAACAAATTTTTTTTGTTTTTCTTTTTTACTCAAATCTAGGAATGTACTTCCATACTTAATTTAGGCACATCTATCAAAACTAAACCATGGAATTCATTTTGTATCTATACTTTCGACTCCAATATACAAGGAAGAGGAACCTATATCATAAACATGATAATCATATAGCACAAATTATGATGTAACAATTAATCTTTCAAAAAAAAAAAAAGTTGAAATGGAGCATTGTTGAGATAGGATATAGTAAAATTTATGACAAAATAGATGAATATTCATAATCCAAACATGTACATTAGCAAGAACAATATAAACCAACAATACTAATGCATCTAGATGAATTAAAAGTATAATCATAAAGAGCCCATTCTACAACAACAAATATGCACCAACTTCATTTTTATCCAAATATTACCGTAAAAAATTCATTTAGAATACAACAATGGTGCCAAAAAAGAACTCATAGTAAAATCTAAAGCATGGTAAAGAGCCAACACTTGACAATTGAATACTAAAATAGTGGAAATCATTATTGAGAAAAAGGAAAATAAGCCTTAAACCATTCAAAACAATAATCTAAAATATAAGTTTTCTGTTAAAATTTATTTGAATTAAAATATGGTTATTGCTTTAAGTTATAAATCTAAGGAGTGACATGTTGAATGCCAAACCATTGTGTCCTTTAACATTATGTCTTGTAGAAAAAACTTAAACTATAAACCATTAACTTTAAAAGGGGTTTATATATATATATGTATGTGTGTATGTATAGAGACACATTATTAAATTAACTAATACTTTCTTTTTAAAAAATAATTTCTCCACAAAAATTACTAAAAACTAAACAAACAATACAAAAAGATCCATTGCAAAAAATAATCAATCAATATATAAAAGGAGTCGTACAATGAAAAAGCTTTTAAAACTAGTTTATTATTAAAACATCTCTTAATTTGTTTAAATTTTTTATCCAGGTTAATTAATAAACCAAGAAGTTATTTGAAAATGCTTATCCCTAATTCCAAGTTCATTTTAAGGTCTAAAGTTGAAGTCCGTGGTTAAAATTGAAGTTCGGTCTCCAAGGTCATGGTCAAACCAAAAGGCTACTAGTATGAGATTTCATGGGTTTTCATTCAAAAATCAAAACTAGTATGAGATTTCATACGATTAAGGAAATTAATATATTAATATATTTACATTAATATATTAATTTCAATTTTAATAGCTCAAACTTGTGACTTGTTAGGCGACAAAATAAGCTTCAATCACTTCAACTATTTCAACTTTTATAACTCATCTTGCATAATAATATATTTGCAAACAAACTGACAGTTTTAGTAGTTAAATTGTCTAAACTAGAAATCAAAGGTCAAAATTATTTGACCTTCAGTTTGATTTTAAAAACATTGTATCCAAGGTCATGGTCGATTCGAAAAGCTACAAGTATGAGATTTTGTACCATTAAAGATGTAGCCTTTTCAAAATTTTCTAATTAAAGATATATATGACTTTTTTTGTGAACAAATTAAGGATGCCACCTTTCATAAGTTTTTAATTAAGAATACTGCATTTTTGATTTTACTATTAAAGAATTTAGTAGATGTGTATGCTTACCCAGCAAATTGTTTTTGCTTGTGGGACCCACATAATTTGCTAACATAGATATTTCTATGGACAATGAAGTAAAATAATAAAATTTGGAAAGATTGAAACCTAAATTTATGAAGAGAAAAGAAATCTAGAAATCTAGAATTCATGGATTAAATAAAAAAGAAAAAAACAAACAAACATACTTAAGGATGTGATAAGAATTAGGACTTTGCAAATTGGGGAAACTAGAGTGTTGATTCAGAATTCACAAAATAATCTAATTAAGGAATGAGGAAGAAACACTATAGATTGAGATTGCTAAGAGAGACAAATTGAAACATGCCCTTGATAATAGAAATAATAATAATAAGATTTGAACATGTAATACAAGGTGTCATACAAAAAAAAAAAAAAAAAAAAAAAAAAAAAAACCACAATTGAAGGAAAAACTTTCAAGTGGGGGATCAACCCTTGACTTGATTTTTGCATTTCAATACCCAACCACCAAACTATGTGAAATAAAAATTGGTCAAATCTTTAACTAGATTACTCATAACTGTTGCAAAGCCACATATTAGGTTTCTTTCTAATATTCGACTATGATTGTCACGCCCCAGACTGGGAGCTGAATAAAAGCCGTACATTTGTGGGAGGATCCTACAAATGCACAAGGCTCCAAACCTGCTTAATTCATTATGCACGATTCATGATTGGCAATCCACTATACTAAGATCCAAAACCTCAAAATAAAATCTAGTTTTTATAACCAAGGTTGACTAAGTTAAGAGAGCACAAAATTTATACAACTCCATCAATCTAGTCATGACTATATCCAAGGGAATCTAGTCTATAAAAGAATGATCTATATCCCAAGATCTATGTCAAAATAAATCATCAAGCAAACCTAATTACAAAATAATTTAAATCCAAAATATAAGTGGCTAGCCTACTAGCTTGTCACTCCCCTTGGTTTCTCGCATCCCTAGTCTTGCTACCTAAAATGGTGGTCAAGAAAAAAGAAACTATATGAGAAAACTCAGTAAGTAAAATATAGGTAGCCTTTAATTTAAAGCATGCCAGATAATCAATTTAACTTAAGCTAAAGGAAAATCTTAGATATAAACACTTAATGCATAATAAAATTCATTTGTTGTCTCCTCAATTACTCATGGTCAGTGTTTAACAACTCACACTGGCAGGTATCAAGAATAACCAGTGTACTATCCTATTGGTAGGATAACAAGAATAAATTAGGACAAATTGGTTCTTAGGAATACATGTCGACATGTGCCAGCATTTACAACTCCCATTGGTGGGCTTCAAGAATCATGAATATATTTGGAGACAAAACCACATAGGAGTTCAACAGAAAAATTTTACTTTTACAAACCAAATTCAAGTTAGCAAAACTAGCAAGTAAACTTCATGTAGGCATGCTCATCTCAATAAAAATGATATCAACTTCAATTCAAGCTAGTCATGTTCATGCACAAGTGAGAAATTTGGTTTAGGTCTCGCTACCACCTCAAAATGGCTTAAAACATGCTTTTAAAAACTTTGCTTTAAAATCCAAGGTATTAACCATAGTTTTACTTACCTCGCCTTATAGGTAGGCAACTAGCAAAAATTCAAGAACGTGAGGCAGTGGAAGTGATTTAGAACCTATACTACATCAAATGAACAACAAGATCATAACATACCCCATTTAAACAAATTGGTTCCTAATTCCAATGTGAAGTTCTTAACCAAAGGAATAATTTCTTCCTACATAACCCTGCCACTTCTCCCCATTGAAACCTTACTAATATAGTAACATGTTTAATCATACTTAAAACATGCTTAACATAGTTCCAAGTGTCACTCTAAATAGTAGGTATTCCAAACAGATTTTCTGGGCAGATTAAAGTGGAGTAGAATTAGTGAAAAACCAAGCTTAAAACAACCCTAGACTATCGTAGAAAAAGTTAGATAGTAGGGTGCGGTTTTTGCCATTTAAAACAATCTCAAAATGTTCAAAAAACATCTTGAATAGTAGAGGTTTTTTGGGCAAAGACAGTTGTAAAAATAGTGTGAAAACTTAATAGCAAAGTGAAGAAAGCAATAGTTGAATGTAATAAAAAATATGGACTGTTTTGTGTAATACTTTCAAGCAAAATGACACAAAAACATGATAGGTTTTCAATGGTTTAACCAAGCCTAACGGAGCAGTTTTGTAGCTGCAAAATATAACAATAGCAATGGTTTTAACATAGAAAAATAACAACTAAAAATAGTGGAGAATTTTGTACCAAATGAGGAAAATGGACAGCAAGTTAATGGCCAACAAAAACGTACAATAAGGGAAAAAATAATTAATATTCCATAGCAGCATCCAAAGTGTAATGACAACCAATTCAGCAAACACTAGGATTTATTTGTGTACAAGAGGTAAGATGGTAGCACCCAAGGTGTTCTAGCAACCAATTTACGCTCCACAATTCAGCACTAATTACTTAAAATCAACTTAAAGTAGTAGTCACATAAAGAATTTTTCCAGCAAGGAGAGCCAGATTTGCCATTCACAAAACTAGTAGAATTAAAGGGATAAATTGTGGAAATTATCCCCAAAATCAAGATAACAAAATATTAGAGTTAACCCAACCCAATGAAGAATGAAAAGGTGAATTGTGGCTATTTTTCTTACAAAAAAATGTTGGAAATGGCGACTCCTTTACACTGCACAAGAACTTGACATGGACCAGGAAACTATAGGGAGAAGTAGTAGCAAGGTCTGGATTTGATCATGATTTTTAGAACCATAACCTATTAATCTCTAAACTGTACTTAGAGGAAGAAGAAGAAGTAAATCTCACTTGATTTCTGGCAATAAGAATTTTAGCATAGACTAGGGCTTGTTGGGCAAATTTCTAGTGAGGGGTTACAGGGGACACGAAAATGACAAGGAGAAAAAAAAAAAAATCAATCTTAGCCCCCTTTTATCACCGGATTTTCCCCTTAAGTTTGTAAATTTGCTATTAGGTCCAATGACAATAATTTCTCTTGTATAAGTCCTTTATTTAATTTTTTTTTTGTTAGATTTTAGAAAATTTTGGGATATTATAACAATTCAAGCCACTCCTTTCCTTGGTGATGGTATTGTGATTACTTACTCCATTGCAAAGACAAGACATCCCAGTAACTTGACTTGAACTCAACTCTGTCCTAAGAAGCAAGAATCCAAATCATTCCTAGGTTCTATGTAGAAGAAGAAAATCTCTATAGTTTTTTCTCCATTTTTTTCTTGGTTTAATGGCTTTGAAGGAGACAATTGCTCCTCTCCCTTCTTTAGATCTAGTTGTTCTTTAATGAATTTAAGATGGTAAGCAAGAGAAAGAAAAGAAAAAAAGAAAGAAAGATGAATTTCTTGCTTTTTGTTTTTAACATTTGGAGTCATGGTGATGTGATGTTGAGTTGGTAGTACCTCCAATAGCCATGGCTCATTTTAATTGACAAATCAACAAATTACTTGGTTCCATACATGGAAATTGTTTGCTAGTTAGCTTGCACATTCACCAAATTCTTAAATAGTAGAGTTGGGAAGGTGGTATCATTAATTCAAAATTTTTAAAAAATTTTAAAAAGTGATATTCTTAATTAAAAAATGGTGTATATCTTTTATTTAAAAAAATTTAAAATATTATGTCTTTTTTTATATAAAATCTTTGCAGGTATCTAAAAACAACTATCCACACTTTTAAACAAACCAAGATAGATAAAATAGAGGATTTTTATGAGAAAACAAATGTTCATGTTATTCTTCATTTTATTAGAAAATTACCAAATTCCAACCATATACCTAGAATTTAGCAGAATTTCTAGATTTTGGCTATAAAGCCAAATTCCTAGTAAATGGGTAAAATGCCAAAAATACTATAAAGATGCAAATTAACACTAGATATATTGTGAAACACTGAGTATGCATGAATCACACTTGAAAAAAATGCAAAAAGCAAATGAAACCCACACTTTCATCAACACAAAAAAGTTACTAAAAATTCATAGAAAATGATAGAAAATCTTTAAGATACCTAAAATGAACAATAAATATAAAATCAACAAACAAAATCACAAAATATACAATCTGGCAATCACTAGCCTAGTATATCCTTATATAAAGGATTAGACTCTATGAGCTTATTAGTCTCTATTTGATTGGCATGCCCTAACCTTATTCTTAGGACTAAACACTCCAATCAAACTAGAAATTAAAGACAAAAATTAAGAAGAGAAAAAAATGGCAAAAATAAATTTTCAATGACACTTCAACTTCAAGAAACTTTCTCGACACAACTTTGTTTGACATCCAAGAAGATCTCTTGACTCAAAGTGTCAAGCAAATCAAGGAGGATTCTTCATCCTTAAACTCACAAGATGTGATCATAAGAGGCCTTGTAGCTACTACTTTGATGAACCCAAATGCATTTATGACTCGACAATTTCAACCAGAACTCGTGGTTGAGTAGGATCAACAATGGCCCTCTGCCCACCACTATGTTGAATCATGTACAAGGTTCTAAACCTCTCATATAGGGACAAACTTTTATTGGAAGAAAAATTTACAAGGATTTCCTTTGTTACTATCCCTGACTAACTTGATGAAGATTCTAATATCGATGATGACCCAAATAGTGATATACTGGTTTTTTTTTTTTTATTTAAAATAGAGAAGTGAAGGATTAGACAACTTTAGGCAAATAGCTTTACCATTAAGGCTTTTGCTCTGAAATTGGTGGGATACAATTTCATGTCCCACTTGCCCCATCAAAGCACAATAGAAGCCATTTGGTAAGTGGGATTTTATTAATTTGGGGAATGATTTTTTCTTGGTGCATTTGCAGGATCAAGAAGACCCTATTTGAGTCTTATTTGGTGGTCCCTAGTTTGTAGGGCTATACTATATTACCATCTGCAGATGGGAGCCTAATTTCTATCCATCAATGACCACTTTCTGTACTACTTTTTTCTAGGCTCATCTACCCCACCTCTCTACAGATCATTATGACCCAATTACCTTACAAAATTCGCAATAAAGTGGAAACTTTACTTTAGGTTAATGCTTACACAACTCACCTTACACGTGGGTAATATGCTAGAGTTTGTGTTCAAGTTGATCTAGACAAAAAACTTATACCGTTAAGATTGGAAGGAAATTTCAAAAGGTTGTTTATGAGGGTATTAAAGCCCTCTATTATAGTTGTGTGAAGATTGGTCGCAGACAACTTAATGTCCATCGTTGTAGCAAAAAGGCCCACAATCGCAGAATTTGAGTAAAGTATAATCAAGACTATAGGTCTATTGCTCCATCCTCTAATCAAGGACCTAATCCATTGATGTCCCTTTAGCTAACTAAGCATTTGGATTTGATGTTTATGAACCATGGATAGTAGTGAGTGATGTTAGCCTAGACAATTCAATCCATCTATAGTTAGTTTTGACAAGTTGGAAAGTTCTTTTGCACTGGCAATGGTGACAAACAATGGAGACAAAAGGGATATTTCAGGTCTTATCTCAACTTGTAAGCATAAGTCAAAAGTTGGTCCAATGCAACCCAATTTGAAATCAGGTCAACTTAACGAATGTGTGTCAAGTGCACTTAATAGGAGTTCTATTACTACTCAAATGGCTATTTTGGTCTCTTAACCTAACCCTTTTCTTCTAAATAGGTCAAGAAAAATGTCTCTTCTAATGATGATTCACGCCTCCCTCAACATAAGCAGCTAGTTATGAACAGTGTTATCAATAGCGGATAGCGGCAAATAGCGGAAAGGCCGAAATCCGCTATGATAGCGTAGCAAGTAGCGTAGCGGCTGCTATAGACAAATAGCGGGTATTTAATAAAAAAATTAAAATATAAATCTAATAATTAAAATAAAAGATAAATCTGGTAATAAAAAGCATAAAATGACCTAAGAGTTTATAAAAATTATCAAAAATTATAAAAAATAATATT